CATACCCTTCTCCAAGTTCCCTTCTCATAAGTATGCAACAGGAGCCAGCAAGCAAAAGACTGGAAAGTATTGGCCTTTTTCCATAATCCTTCCATAAATTTTTCTTTTGAATGTAAATTCATTCAGCATTTTAAAAACTGATATAATTGGTTTAAAACTAAGCTTGGGCTGTTTATTGCTATTAGGGCAAAATGGGAAAGGAGGAAGCTTTCCTAACTTTTTCTCCAATAAATTCGTTCTTAGTCTTTGGTGCCTCTCCTCTACACTAGAAATAAGGTATCTGGACACACTGTATTTACTTATTTTAAGCTGAACTTAACCTTATTCCCCAGTGATCAGCAAACTCTCACCCTGACCTAGTGTTCTAACTCGAGGGACCCTCTGATTCTGACCCTGTCACAGGCTGCTTGCCAGGCGTCACCCAAACCGAGACCATCAAGAATTCACGCACCTTACGGGGTGCCCTAAGGAATGAAAGTCTGTGGAAAAACTGGCCCCATTAGAAAGGCTAACTGTTCCTTCACTAGCTCATATTAAAATATTTAAAACAACCGAGGCAGAGTCTCCTGAACCTGGGGACGCTCGGCTATCCCGTGGCTCCGGCAAGCGGCCCAGGCTGTCCCTGTCCCCGCGGACTGGCACGGTCACCCGAAAGCCGACTCCGCCCGGTGCCACGCGCCGCGACTGCGTTCCGACGCGGGTCCTCGATGGCACTCCCAACACCACTCCACCAAGGGGACGCGGGGTTCAGGCAGTTCTCCCCAGACGGCGCAGGCAGGGGGAACCCCAAAGTCCCTGCCCGGGGCTGTCTTCCCAGCTCGCGCCCCGCGGGCGTCGGGGGCTTCTACAGACGGACTTTTCCTCTCGGTCTCCCCAAACCGCACAGCATCTCCCTCAGCCCTCTCCCGCACACGTCCCTGCGCAGGCCCGAGGCGTCCTCCGGCTAGGGGGCGAAGGGGCCAGGGGTCTCAGCTCTGCCGCGGGCGGGGAAGGTCTTACATCAGCCCGCCCACGTGCGGCCGCAGGGAGAGGGCGAGGAGGGAGGAAGCCGCTCAGCTCCCCGGCTGCGCCTGTCTCGGCCTC